CAGGAATGTTATCAGCACACAAATAGCTTTATTTTGAACAGAGGTTGTCTAGCCTCATTACTGAACTATTCAGCTTCAAATAGTGATTTGTTAATTCATAAAAAAAAAAAAAATTCAAAAATAGGCTATTTTAGTCTGGGATTTGTACGTTTAAATTAAGTTCTAACAGCTACTTATAGAAGCTTCATGAGATACTTATCAGTTTTCATTGGGGGCCAGCCAATATTTTAACTGAAACGGCTGATGGTTGCTATTAGGTTAATTTTGAGATAATGCATGAACAGACAAAATAATAAAGTGCTTCCTACTTCTCAGTTTCCAACAGAAATAAGTGGCAAACTGTATCATGACAATAAAAACCTGGTTTTAGACCTGAGCATGACAATTTCTACACTTTATGAAAATGTAACATTTCTTATTACTGAAGTTTTTTTTCTTGACTAACATGCACCTCCTTCAGAGTTAACTCCTTGTTAGACATTTCTAGTGATGCACAAGAAAGAGGTAGCACATTCTGCTAATTTTCACAACTGAACTACAGCAGAGGACCTTAACATCTATATTAATTTTAGATTCATACACTTGGACAACAACAGAGGACAAAGATTAGCTTTCAAGATCTGGATAAAATTACTGAAGCTGTGAAAAGTCATACAGTTTGCCATCTCTGCAATAGCTTCCAGAAGATTTATTAGTATAAATAATTTTTTAAATATTCCCAATTTTTCTGCAAAATAATAAAAGTAGATGGAACATTGGTGGTCAGGGGAGGCATGTAAATAGGGAATCAGAAAGTTGACCAGGTCAAAAATTAAATTTAACACTAGCAGTGGTAAACTAGAAAAGATGCCTCTGTATTGTCTTTCAAAATTATGATTATCAAAATCTGTGTGTTATGTTCAGTACATCATAATGTGGTGGTCATTTAACTTGCAGAGTTGAGAGAAGACACTGTTACTAAATTCTGTTTTGACATGATCATTTGAAATTCACTGGGAGAATAGTAAGGCTTGGATGGCTTGATATTTGGGTGTATACAATACTATCTGCTTAAGTGGTTTGGGTTTCAAAGGCAATCTGGTGATAACCGAGGGTGAGTTGAGCACAAATTGTAAGAAAAGAAGGAAAAAGGGATGTTTTCATTACTGAAACCTGTGTGTTGGCAACATGGAGGCCTCAAAGTTGGACTGTGTGCTTCAGAGATAAGTCATGCTTTGTTATTGCTATTGTTATTAGCCTATTTCTTGACACTGAGTTACTAAACTCTTAATGTGTACATTTGAAAGAAAATTAAAGATAATGGCAATATTTATCTGAATGTCATAGGTTTTATTTTTGTGAAATAATTCCGGAGCTTCAGGAAAGACACAGTACAGAATGTAAATATCTGTTAATCTGATTTGCAATATCCATCATTAAATGCTATTCCCAGCTCTCTAGTTCATAGTTAGTTTTATGGGTTTCCTTCCATTTTCTGTCATCTTCTGTTACAGAGAATAGCTTGTCCATATTTCCTAAATAGTGTTTTATGTCTAAAGCTTTAGATGTCCACCTGCTTTCATTGGAATGAAATGCCTGTGGCAGAGAACTAAGATAACTTGGTAGATGCTTTTAGGATCAATGTCAATAAGCTTTTTTATTGCCAATAAACATTTATTCTGAATTCACACACAGTAGCATCACCAGATGCCTCAACAGATTGACATTGTCACAGTTTTTCCTTTGTTTGAATGGTGATTTTCCCAAAGGTTTCTAAATGTTAATTAATCAAATATGAATGTATAGAACAGAGAAAATGATAGGCCAAACAATAATAGCTTCTATAAATGTTAAAAGTAGCTTGTGAATTGCAGTGTTTGCATTCCATGGGGTTCTCCCTATGTATTAGGAAACAGCATAATTAAAGATTAAAATAATCCTTAGTGCTTAACTACTATGTACTATTTTTTAAAAAGTAAAAAGGAAAGGGATAAAAGGAAAACCTGAACAAGCAGTTATAATCTCTTACTTATGACTCCCTATTGAGATCTTTAAATAAGATTATGTATTTAGAGTGCATCCTCATCTGGTGGGAGCATCATTCTCTAAATAACAGAAACCCAAATTATATTATTATCCAAAACTGAAATAATCAAATTACTTAAAGGTTAGAGAGAGTAAAATTTTTTCCTTGTGTTAGTTTTAACTACAATATTAACAGTTTAAAAATAGCTAATCCTGTAAAATCATCATTTGTAATGTAAAAGGAGTTAGGTAAGGAGTGGTCTTGATGAAGAGGAGTTAATCAACATTGCATTCAAGTTAAAGCCAGCTGTTGCCCTGTTTATTAACACTTGATGGTTTCTTTTAAGATTTAGCTATTTTCAACAGGAACAGTTCTTTGCATTAGTGGAATATTTCTAATAATCACAAGAAATTTAAAACTGACATAAGGATCCAGAAAAATCTATATCACTTCTGATATGGAAGCTAGCATGATTGTTCGTGAAAGTATCACTGGGCTGAAAAGTTGCTTCTTGATGCTCTTTCTGCTCGTACAGGCTTGCTTGTAAAGGTGAAATGGCCAGACTGAATACAGTGCTGACAGCCTAGGCTTGTGCAGGACAACAAAACAACATACAAGTCATAAGTGCTTAAAGAGAAAGGCAAAAGCATCAACGGGGAATTTATGCTCCCTCATGTCTGCTGTTCCCCTGAAGGTAAAAGATACCTCTTTAATAGATACAACAGGATTCTGATATAAGATATTGTGTCACAGTCTCATAACTTCACTTTACCACTGGATGATCCTCCCAGTAGTAGCTTGGTAGTACAGCATGATGATTCCTGTGAAAGAAAGTAGTTGCTCTTATACGAACTCCTCTGGAGTGTCTCTCAGACAAAAATTTAGAGTTTTGTTTTTATAATGGAAATTTGCTGGAGTATGCTTAGAGGTTCAACTCTGTCATTTAGTTCAGTTTCTGATATGTTTTTTTTAGTTCTGTGTGTAAGTAATAGGATTTTTGTTCCAAATTACAGTTGGATATTTGTCATGGTTTTTTTCCTCAGAAAATTAATCCTGAAATCCTGAAATACCAGCAGTTTCATAAAAATATCAGTGACATGAAAGTCTGTAGCGTAGGAAGCTTGAGGTGACCTACAGACATTCTTTCCAGTAAACATTTCTATGATTTCTGTGACTCTATGTAACATTGCATTTCCTATGAAAAAAACACTCTTTAAAAAAAAAAAAAATAATGCCCCAGTCAATATTACAAAATATTTCACTTTTGCTTTAAAAGAATTATTGTTTCAGACTTTATTTTATGTTTTAAAATGCAGCTTAGAAACTAAAATTGAGGAAGAAAATAGGTTTTATCTAAACATTAAGATGATAACTTTAAAATTTGAGTATTTGTCATTAACTATCACTGGTAGCTTTATTATTGCACACTCTTTGTTGGGTGATACATAGGTTTAGTCCTTTTATAATAAAAAATCAGAGTAAGGAAGCAGCAAAAGAGAATGATATTCTACTGTGCCCCCACTAGTAAGTTGGGGTTTTTTTCTGCTTTCTGAGGCCTGCAGAAGCTCTGTTGTAAAAATTCTGTCATGCTGGGAATACCCAGGCACAGAAAGTTGTGCAGGAATGTGAAATGTTTTTCTTTTGAATTTGCAGATGTGTAAGGCATGAAATCCACTCTTGTAAGTGGATCTTGATTGGAATATGGGATCTGAGGTAACTTGCTGTGTTACCAGAAATTAGCTGATGCAGAAGGCCATGACCGAGCATCTCTCATGAAGTGTTCATGGGAAACTGGAAGGGGGGGGGGAAAGCAAGTATGGAATGTTTTCCATATATGGAAGTATCCCAAGGGCTACAGGACAGATTTTAGAACTTCCCTCTCTTGACTCGTTCGTTCTTAGCATCTTATTCCAGCGTGCGTGTATGCTCCATTCATGTGGTTTTATATTGAATATTTTTCTTCTTGCTCTTTCCTTCTTTCCACAAGTTCTACTTGCAGAGTATCTAAACTATAAACTATTTGTCCTAATAGAGAAGACCTTATCTTAATCTTCTCAAATATTGTATTCTTTCCGTATGCTTAGACTACATTCTGTCTAATATTCTCATGTTCAAGACAGATTGTTTTTCATGGGAATTTGTGTGCATAAGTTCTTCTGTGATATCTGTATAAGGAGCTGATTTTTAATGTGTCCAAAGACATCCCCTCCTCAGGAGTTTGTCACAGCATAAGATCTACCCTATGCCAAGGACCCTGGCAAGATAAAAATTAATTCTAAAAGATGTAAATGTTTGTTCTTAGTGATGATTTATCATTTAAGTAGTGAAACTACCAGAATAAAATGGAGTTAAATTTTTTTTTTAAGGTGATTTTGAACATTTCCTCATGTTGTTCACCATTACCATGGTTTAATGGTCACAGTTAAATGTCAGTCTAAAGTTGTGAGTAACTGTAGCTGTTCTCAAATCTTCATTTCTGCCACATTTTAGGAGGATTCATAAACTATTTGGGTATTTTTTAACAGCAGTAACCAGACATGTGTGTTTATACCAGCACACTTACCACATAAGTATGTGGAACTGCAATGATGCTCTGCAAATCCGTTGCCATAAATGGCCTTTAAAGCAGGTGAAAAATGGGGGAGTTTTAGAAAGATCCAAGTTGGAAATACAGTGGCACAAGGTGAAGGCAGATGTTGACAAACACTGTAGTAGCTCTGTAGCCTTTTTCTTTTAATTATTTTAATCTAAAGTAATTAATTTTATAACTGGAGATCTGGTTACACAAGTTCGTTATGGTTGCTGATAAAGTATGTGTGACTTTATCACATACTTTATGTGATAAGTTTATTATTATGTGATAAGTTTATTACTTAATTCTGAGTTGCAGAATTAAGTAACTTGAAGATACTTTTGCATGTTTTGAAATGGCAAAAAGGATAGTCTTTCTCAGACATATTTCAGATTGCTACAAGGCATACAGATTCTCAAGTTTTGAGAGAATTTTGCAACATCAAAGAATGTGTTTCCCTAGCTTTATTTTTGAAAAAAAGCTGTATTCTTTAAAACTTTCCTAAAAGCCTCTCAGATTTATGTGAGACCTAGCAGAAGAAATAGCAGCCTATAGTTTTGACAAAGATGTATGCAATTTACAGCATGGCTGTATAATTGAAGATGTTAGGGAGCCTGTATTACAGTTTTTATATACATGTGTGTCTGTGTATTTTAAGCTATTTAGAAGAAAATACTTTTTCCTTGGTAAGAAGTGAATAAGTGTAATTAAGTTAACGGAGTTAAAAGATTTGATCTATTCCATATGCAATTCTATACCGATATCTTGAAAATTACAATACTATGGATTTGTGTTTGAACACTTATTATTTTTCTTTCAGTTAACTGATACCAGCTGCATCCAACAGCCCTTTACTATTTTACCAGTTAAGACAAAATGGAGCAATGCAAGCTTTCATATTCTCCTATTTGATCTGGAAAAACTTGAACTTCTGCTGTCATCTCAACTCAATGGATTAAAGTCATCGAATTCGTTCCGCAACTATGACACTCCAGAAAGAGCCAAAAGTACTACTGAGAAAAGGGCACTAACATTAAAAAGAAATAAAACTGCTGGCTCCGTATCTCCAGTGGACTGGCAAGTAGAAACTGTTTGTTCAGACCATGTCTGTAGGGATAACAATGCAGCTAGGCCTGTGGAAGACAGTGGTGGCATGAAAAGACAGAAAAAAATGAAGAGTTCAAGAAAGATCAGAATGCAGCCATTGGGAAACTTTGATGTGAACATCACCACTGATACAGCTAAACTGCTTTTGTCATGTCTCTTGCCATGGGGTGTAGATAAAGAAATAGACAATCTTTGTGTTAGACACTTGGATATCTTGAGGCTTCAGTGTCCTGTTTCTTTTGGACTTGTGTCAAATGAAAACCACCTTTCACTAATGTTGCCAGGATGGAAATGTACTGGTTGTTGTGTACTAGAAGAACATGCAGTAATCAACTTGTTTTCAAGCAGAGTGCTTGATTTATCAAACAAGTACATTGCTGCAACTGAAGGACAAACTGGAAAGAAGGATGGACCCGAGAATAATGTTTATGAAACAAAGGGATTGGAAACAGTATTCTTCTTATTTAGCAGAATAGCTTTAATCAACAGGATAATTAACATACCTTCAGCAGTTACAGGTGAAATTGAAAGGTAAGAACCTTTTCATTATGAATCTTTTCTTCCTTTATAGTGGTGACAAAGTGTAAAATGGAAAACACGGAGTTTGGCAATAGAGTTTACATTCTTTAGAGTTTTTTTATAGGATGTCCTTTGAACAAAAGGAGATCGAGGTGAAGTTAAGTATCTTTATATTTTTCTATTTAGCAGATGAGAAAACAGATGCAAGAAAATTTTTTTCAACAGAACAAGAACTTGAATTATCCAGCTTCACACCCTGTTTTTCCAGACATCACACTTTGCCTCGCAGCTCGAACTAAGTAGAATAATGAAGTCTCTTCAGGCACATTGAGACGTGCATTAGCACATTTGTGCTGTTTTAACTTCCACTCTCTGTAAGCAATATACTTCCTTTACCATGAAACCCTGGGCTCCACAGATAAATAAAACATGAGAGACAAGAACAGTCTGTCCTAGTTACACTATCCAAAGTACACCCCACCCTGCCCCCCAGTAATAATGGCAGCTACTGGGAATGAATGCTTCATCAGCCCTTAAGTTGTGAGAACCATCCCAAATAACATTTATGTTACTCAAAACAAATTTATTGACTAAATGCTTTTTCAGCATTAAAGGAAAAATAGCATGCTCAACATCATTTGACCAAGCCAAATAGAGCATACTAATCAGGTAATGGATATTGTCTACAGACTTCTGTTGTTCAGGAAACCTAGGTTGGTCTGTATTTAGCATTTTAGGGACAATTAACTTCAGTGTTGGTGATGCTATGGTCCAGAAGCAAAAAGGGGGTCGAAAATTATTGATCCTGATGCTGCAAATATCTGTGCATCTTCTACAAAGCTGTAGGCATTCAGCATTATCTCAAGAGATATGTACCATCCCACATGAAGAACTCTCATTTCTCAGCTACTTTTACTGCTAATCACATTGCCTACCAGTCATATTCAACATAAGCTCTTACATGAAAGGTTATTTCCAGGACTCCAGCTTGAACATGAATTCCTTTCCATGCAAGAAAGGCCTTTATGTTTGCATTGTGTCTTACAGTATTCTGTTGGAAAGACATTGTATTTGAAATTAGTCATCATACCAGAATGAAACATTTTTCCCAGACATAAACATCCTGACTTTGGAACATATCTCCCATAAAATTATAAGTATTAAAGTTATTGCAAGAAAAAATACACTATAGGTGAAGTTTTGTACAAAACAGAGGAAAATAAATAAATGCTATGAATTTTAGTTACAAAAAGATAATGAATTTTATTCAAAGACTGAAATGTTTTATTTGGGATTTTGACATGGTTTGGTTTGGACTGCCTCTTTTTCCAGAGATGAATAGTATACCTATTTATAGCTGTATTGTAGCGAAGATTTAGTTTGGTTGTGATACTTCAATATGGGCTGTTGCCTCCTAATGGCCTCATCTGGATAAGAGCATTTGAGTTGTAGCCATTCAATTGTTGGTTTTTGTGTTTTGGGTTTTTTATGTCTTCCCCCCCCGAACTCTGTATTTTCCTCGAGTTCCTAAGCAGCAACTGCAAGTGCTATGGGTCTGTACAGAGACAGCACACAATTCTTTTTCTAGGCTGTACCTGCCCACTCTTGCCTTCTTTTGAGGCTGTACCTTCTTTTATTCTTCATCTCTCACACATTCAGAAAATAGACAAGTAGCCACAATTTTTCTGTGTTATCAAAGAATAAAGTGTTCTTTCTTAAGGAACTTGAACAGAACTAGACTGAATTTGCTGCATTTTTATCAACATAGACCTCAGAGGTTTGAGAGTCACCTGGGCATTTTCCTCTTTGCTGCTGGTGATAGGAAATTTTTTTCTCATTGTGGCTCTATCCCATAATAGCACAGAGTTCATCTTTTCTCCTACCTTCCAAGAACTGTTTCAGAACTTCACATGTCAGTCATAATTCACTTATGTTTTTCCCCCAGAAATAAAGATAAGAGCAGTTGAGATACGTAAAGGTTTTTGTACTGTTTCCTAACCTCGATAAACCTGCAAATGATGTCCCATTGCAGTCAAGAAGCATAATTTTCACATAGAATCAAAGTTGTGTGGGTAGAACCCATGAGACAGTGTTGCTGTGTCAGCATTAGTGGGAGAAGTGAATTAGAGCCCCGGGGAAGAATTTCATGCTTCAGACACTTACTGAAAAACAAAAACAAACCACCAAACCCCACAAAAAACTGATTCCGTACACGATGTGCTTTCATGTGATAATGTTATCTTTGTTTCTGACTATTAAAGGCATAGTTTTGCTATCTGAAATTGCTATCTGAATGTATCTATACTTTCTGTATCGCCTCAAAACCGGTTATGTGTATGTTAAGTTATCTCCCTCGCTCCACCTAGGGAAGAAGCCCCTTTCCTGTAAAGTTCCCTTTCCCTCTTCACTCTTCCCCTCCCAGTAATAAGCATAGCATGAATAGGACTTGGCTTATTTGCTATGATCTTAGGATTCAGCCTTCATTTCACCTCCTCTTGCAAATAGTTGGGGTCTGAATGAACTATTGTAATCTGTGTTTATTCATTCATTAAATCTTTTTATGATTTATACTTATTCATCGTTTACTCTGTATTCAGGGTTGGAATGAGTTTTCTTTGTTATGATGGGTTGTTAGAATAAGGTACTACTTTCAAAATTTTAATTAGGTAAAAACTAAGCAAATGCTATTTTGTCCAGTTTACCTTCTGAAAATACCACAATATTTAGCCACACTTGTTTGAGCAGTTGGTTTAGCTAAAACTACAGAATGCTCAAGGGAACACCTACATACTGAATTCTGATTTGCTACAGCATTTGCAGGAGTTAGTATGACAGCCTTCACAGCTTGTAAGGGTCCTGGTCTTCTAAGTATTACTGCAGTACAAACAACTCTTACTAATTCAGTTACTAATATGAGAGATAAAATGCCTAATGATCTTCTTTCAGTAGCTTATCTGTCATCAGAGCTATGAATGTTTCTCTATCCTGTGAAAGTTTACTTCCTATTAGCACACTGGTACAAACCCTGAAGCTTTTAAACTTTTTAAATTAAAAACAGGAGAAAGAATATCTGAACAGATTATCCAGTGACTAGGACACTTGCTCAATGTGTATTCATCTGATATTCATAGTTCTGCCTACTTTGATGCTGGATGAATGGATTTGTATACTTATACCTTGTAAGGCAGCACTGCATCTAGCTACTGGTTTAGCAATAATTTTGAGATTCTAGCTTTCTTCTGTTAATGCTGGCCCACTTTGCATGTAGCAATGAAATACTCATTGGGCTGTAAGAAGAATTATTTTAGTGTCAGCCAACTGATCTAGAGAATGTGATAAAGTTTAAATCCCTGTTCTTTGGCATATCCAATGATTTTGCTGTTACAGGATAGTGAAGGGAATTTCTTTTGTTAAATAAAACACACACACACTTTTAATATGGAGAGTCAGAACTGGAAAAATGCATTTGGTCAATTCATAGACTTTTGAGTATTCTTGGATGAGTCCGATATTCTCATTTTGAGCAGAAATTCTGTCTTTGTCAGCATGTATATATATGTGTCTGCTTAAACCATGGGTTTGACAGATAATCATTCCCCAATGGAAAACATTTGATTGAAAAACTCCTGACTATTTGCTATCATAAGTTTTCAGCTCGTGTTTTGGATCAGTAAGTTTCAGGTTTCTGTATTTCTGTGAACTATTAGATATTTGATTGGATAAATGAAATTTGTGGAAAGTGAAAATAGTGAACAGTTAATGACATGCTTTAAGCACATGTTATCAGACCAGTACTAATCTGTGTTTTTTTTTTTTATTTTATTTTTAAAAACCAGTATTTTTAGCATAATTTTAACATTTCACCAAAAAAATGTTCATAATTAAAAAAAAGAATAAAGTATGAAAAACATGGCTTTGGAAAACTTTAGACCCAAGTCTATAAGCTGTTGTTCATAAATGTGTTTGTGTATCTGTTGACGTTTTGTAACTTGACCTAGCCTGTGAAAATAAAGGAACCTGCAGTAAAATGTGTCAGACTATAAAAGTGGGATAGAAACAGGAAGAAACGAGTAAGACTAGATCTTCAAAGACTTTTTCGCTTGCCTTTTGAGATTTGTATCTGTAACTTAAAGAACTTAAAGCTATCAAGCTGAAAGCTTTCAGAGTTGTTTAGTATTGCAAAGCTTTTGAGATATTGTGACTTACTGTTGATTGTAGTGAGTGTGAAAGATGATATCTGTTATTTGTAAATGACAGCTAAATATAATTTGAGCAGGGTCACTATAGCACTGTATTTTTAAAAAAAAATAGTTTAAAATAGTGCAAGGGTTTGGAGAGGTTTTTTACTTCCTTCCCCCTCCATCCACATCCATATCCTTTGTCTTCAAGGGCTAGGTTGCTGAGTTAGTGACAAAGTACTGAACAGCAGTAGATACACGCAATAGTATCCTAAATTGCAGCCATCTACTGAAATGCCAAGTATTGTAATAATGTTCGGTGTTATTTAACACTGTGAAAAAATGGAAACCTATAAAATAAAGCTGCTAGTTTCCATTGAACTATTTTTCCTACGTCATAGAAAAAACCAGCACAAGTCCTTTGTGAAAATGATAGTTTGATTTAGTTATTCACATATGGCACAGTTTCTTTAATACAACATAGAAGTTACCTATAGTAAGTTTTGAGCTAAATGTACAGTTCTTGCATGTGGATGGTACTTTTCAGTGTTTGTGTATATGTGAATGTTTCAATACCAAGTTGTGGGCAAAAGAATGCAAGTGACTTTTGAGGCGAAACTGAACTGTGGTTGATTGTAATTGATACCAGAGTACCTACCTTAAAAAAACCTGCCTTAAGACATCAGACTTTTGTAAATATGTTCAAGTTCTGTTTAATAGTTTCATATTATTTTAGTCCACAGAAATCAGAATCTGTGCATGACAAATGGCGAAATACAGAAGCAGTAACAGCTTCATTCCCCAGTTTTTATGGAGAGTTACCAAGTGGTAAGTATAAGGAAGAATGGCAATATTAGCTTTATAGTGTTATTTTTTGCAGCTTTAGCTTTTTGTTGCTAAAATACATTGTTTAACTTCAATAGTGAAAAAAAAATATATTCTTTAACCTCGAGCAGGTCCAGTTTGCAAATACAGAAACTGGATTATTCTGTTTTGGTGTTTTTTCTGTGAATATCACAAAAGCATGTAAACAAAATGTTGACTGTGAAGTAATACTGGAATTGAAGATATTTTTTTTCTGTTATGGTAAAACATTCAGCTGAGTTTCTAAAGATGTTTTACTAGCAATCTGAAAAACAGAAATGTAATAAGACAAACACTGCCATTTCCCCTTTCCCCCATCTTCCTCATCACCATTGTGTGCCCACCCAATGATGTATACACCCCTTCAAGCCAACTGTTGCCTTAGTAGTACAAGAGTTATCTTGAATGTTCAATAATGCCCTTAGACTTTTGTCTTAGTGTGGCATAAATTAATCTCTTTACACTAATGTCCCACAGGCAGTTGTTCACCAGTCTTGGCTTTGCAAGCCAGTATAAGTTTATTTTTACACTATGCAACTAACCAAAGAATGTTTAAATAAAAACATAAACAGAATATGGATATTTGTCAGTGTATATTACCTAACAAATATAGTGTTCCTGTTTTAGATTAAGACCTATCTAGACTGATAACACAAATTCTTTCAAGTCAAATCTTGACACTCGGCTATGTGAATAAGCCTTAATATTGCTGTCTAAAATAAATTTTTAGTGTACCTTTCCTTCTCTGATTCTAATATGTGCCATTACTGGAGAAGTTGTGATGATAGCAGAAATGGTTGTTAGAAGAAAGACATGGAACATGAAGTGAAGTGACAATAGAAAATAAGTAGATGAAGGGCATGGAAATGGTGTAAAGATGACTAAAATGTTTGTGGACATAAAAATAGCTTTACTGAGTGACCTAAAACTTCTAAGGTAATGTAACTCATATCCCATATCTCCTAGTTCGCATAATTGTTTGGATTTGCAAATTAAAATCTTAAGAGACTTGCACATCTCACAGACATTTTAGGAATGACCCGTTCCTTTAGCTTCAAGGACACCCTGGACAGCAGAATAGGCAACATTAAATCTTGATTCTGCTGATGTTTCTGGACTTTCTGTACACATTTGTGTGTGTGCAAGAGATGGGAACAAAACCAAAGTAAAACAGGAGTCTTTAATGCTTTTTTGCGTAGTTGGACACGAAACTGAAGTACTGCATCAGAGGACAAGGCTAGATGACAGGTACCATACTGACTGTGCTATTCTTGGATCAATGGGGACACTTGCTGAAAGACTCTTTTGTGTTTAGGCCACAGTAGCCTCAAGTTACCTCTTGAGTGAGTAAGAGGGATAAATGTCATTAATTCAAATCAACATTGCTTGAGTCTTGCCTCACATCCATGATTTTGGGGAGCTGGTTCTATCCCACAGGATTTCTGCACAGGGGGTACTCAACTGCAAACTCAGTAGGTTTGTACGAAAGAAATTAGTTGCAAATTGAGGGGGAAGGTTTGAAATAATAACATTGAGCTTTGACACACCAAAGTTTGCAAAATGGCAGAAAAAAAGAAAAAAGTGAAATTTGTCCCCATCCTGAAATCACATACAATTCAAATTAAAATGTGAGGAGGAGAGGTTTGCCTTTGTATGATCAGTTCTGGCACTTTCATTTTGTCGTCCCTTTTTAAGTTTCAGTATTAGCCTTTACATTTTGTGGTACGGTACATGCCATGTCAGCTATGAGAGATAGGGGATAAAATATTTGTTCTTACCTTGTCTTTCTGTAAAGTGAGATTTAAATGCTCTAGTTTTCTTTTTTTCCTCTTTCCTTTTTCTTTATTATTATTTTGATCATACCTGCATGTTTGTACATATGTTTAGATATTATATTAAGTACTGACATAGTTAAATTTATACAGTCATTTACTGAATAGCGTACTGCTCCTATTCAGACTATGCTAGTATACTCTATTAAATTTACAATATGCAGGTACTTAAATGATTTTTTTGAACTTCAGTCTTTGCTGCAGTAATCCCACATTTAAGCGAATGACTATACATTGTGTGATCAGGATGCTTATGAACTTTGATGTTACTGAAACACAGTTGCTACTTACATCTTCAGAAGAGGAAATTTAATTGTTTGGTACTGGCGATAAGAGATTCTTGTGTGGATTCAATGGATTGTACAACGAATTTGTGTGTCTGGCAACAAACATTGTAGTAAAGTGCTGAGATGTCGCATTTGTCTACTGAAGTCCAAATGAGGAAAAAGTGGAATAAACCAGCATAGCTGCCAGTTCATACTGACTTGCTTTGGAAATAATCTGAAAAATCAGGATGGGTAGTAATAAAACTCACATGCAAATCTGTATATATAACATCTTTCTTAACTGCAAGCATAACTGGTGAGCCCCTGGCTATGTGACAGCTTGATCACACGCCATTATTGTTGCCTGTAGCAGAAAAGTAAAATGGGCAGAACTGTAACTATACAAAATGTTATTGAATGTATTTTTGCATAGACTGCGTTACTGGTTCAAAGGTAAAGAAACACATATTCCAATAGTTCTAGAATTTATGTAGTAAAAGCCACAGTTAAGTAATCCAAATTGGAAAGTATTCTCAATATCTTTAGAAAATTATGATGAAAACTTATTCTTTGGGATATCAGACCTCTGTTTAAAAATACAAAGGCGGGGGGGGGAAGACTAATCTGATTTAGGATAAGAATAAATGTTCAAACAATATATTGTTTGAACATTTTGTGTTTATTGCATCAGATGAAAGCATATTCTAAGAAATTACTTTTTCAGATCTTTTCAGGTGTATGCTGAGGTGAAAAATTTAAAAAGGTAAATATATTTCTATTTGTGTACTTCTATGCATATTGTCAGTTCATAAATTATGTATGTGTTTTCCAGGTAAAAGTAGATATCGTTCCCTGGACTTCTGGAGTGCTTCATTGCTGAAACTTGCTTGTTGTTGGAGTGACCAATCTATAAAGGTAGAATAGAGCCTGTGTCAGTTGTTGCAATGTAATCCTTAAGTAACATCAGCTGTAATTTGGTATTTGGAATCTGAAATGCGACATAATAGTTACAGGTTATGGTGAAATTATTACATAAATCATGCCATTCAGATCTATGGAAAGCACATTATTTCAGTTGAAGTATGCTACTCATGAAACTATTTTGCTTTAATGTACATGTTTAGGTATGGGAAAGTAACTGTCTTACTAGTCTTTAATCCAGGTGGTCTTGTTCATAGCATGTATTTAAAAAAAATAAAAATGAGTTGCCAGTTCCCTAATAACCAGATGTAACTTACATTACAAATGCCATTTCATGTTTCGGGAAAATAAAGGCCAAAATAAGGGCAGTGTCATATACCAATATATTATTATAGAAGAAGTGGAAAATGCCTTTTAGAGGGATAAATAATTAATTCCAAATCCTTCCTTATTAGAACACTCTTAAGAATGACTTAGAAAAGTAAGTTATGGGTTCCTGGGTCAGATGAAGCTCATGCCTGTTGTTAGTGAGGCATCTGATGTCTTGAGAGATAAATTACTGTTTCGTGAGAGTTGACAGGTAACTGCGAAATAGTCTGAACAGTGAAATCTAGAGACTATTTTTTATTTTGGAAATATGCATTTAAATAAAGTTGTGTGGTTGCTTCAGTGAGTTAATGTTCAGGAATACGAAACTCAAGGCAGTATACTATGACCACAAGGGATTTTACTCCAGAAAGGGAAATGCCTATTACAGGTTTATTTTATCGTGTTACTTTTAAAATTGAATGCAACTCTGTGCTGCATTTCAAGTGCAAAGAATATTTTACAGAGCTGAGGTGCGAAGGGGTATTGCAGTCATAGTGCCCTGTTCTATTAGACAGACAGTAATGGTTTCTGCAAATATTCGCATTCAATCGAATTCAGCATTTTATCTTGAGCTTGTCAGTTGTTTATTATGTCCCTGCTGTCTGCACATCTTCCATATTATTTCAGCTTTCTTCTCCACTCACAAACTGTCTCACTTTCTCTTACAATAAGACTTTTTCCTTTTTTGAATGCTTTTAATTAAAAAGTTGAATACAGACCTGTTTCAATAGGTCTGTTTCAATAGGCAATTGTCATGTGAAATCCATATAATCTCTTGCTGACATTATCAGACACTGAAACTCTTTATAGAGTAGAGTTGTATGGCCATGAAACTTGTATTTGTAGCATAGCCGATTATGTGAGATATATGTATTCATATTTTTCCAATGAATTTAGTGACTGATCAGTTTATACAATGATAATGGTCTTATCTACCACAGGAGGTGAGTGTGCAGGAAGATAAGGCGTGGAATAAGCTGCCTCACACTTTTCTCATCTGAAAAGACTTGAAATTTAAGACACTGAAATTGTCAAGTACTGCAAATACCGTGCTATCAATGCTTCTCAAATTTTAGCATTATTCAGACACAGCTTTGTAGTTGCAATAAGCTTTGTTAACCTGCTTTGTAGTGCAGATTTTGGGTTGTTTGCAGCCAAAATTATGCAAAATTTTAACATTCAAAATAATTTGTGATGTTGGTAATAGGTAATAATGTGTGTATTCAGCAACCTATGATTTATACAAAATTACAGTTTTTGTTGATAGTAGGGTAGCTTTGTTAAGCCTCTCTTTATACAAACACAGATTTATGGCCAACTTAATTCTGAGCAGCCTGATTAAGCACTTATGTACATTTACCCAAAACATCACTAGTTACCCTGCTTTTAAAAACTTCTGTTACCTTCAGTAGTGGTTACTTACTCACAGCCATCACCCAAAGGACTTGCCATTTATTGATTCCTCATCTCCTTACAGTACTGTAACAGATTCTGTGCAAACAAGAAACCTGCTGCAAATGATTGATCAGGGGTCAGGCTACTGACTTGTTGACGTTGAAGGGCTGAGAGGGGTCTTTTTCTGTCTTAAATTTTAAAAATGTGTTTGTTTTTTAAGTATTTTTCTAGGATTTTTCTCCCCAGATGATTTTAAATAAAAGGTCATCATCATGCATTTTGCTGTTCTTTCAGATAAAATATAGATTGTTGTTGCCACACTCCCATCCTGCCCAGAAATCACTTCTACTCAGATCATCTACTCAGATATTTAAAAAAAAAAAAGCTTGCCCTGAAATATTTCATATGAGGAAACACTGGTTGCATTTCTGTCCTTAATTATCCTTACTCTATATGAGAAACAACATGTTCTTCAGTTGTATCTGTGATAGGTATTTGGTTATATTATAATTTTTTTTCTATTACTATATTATTGCAGCTCTATGGAACCTTTTTGGCTGAAAGGATGAAGATTAAAATAAAATTCTAAAAAAATTTATCAGAATAGTCAAAATGTGGTGCAATCAAAATGTTTCGCCTGTTATTGACTCTAGTAGATATAAGGATATTTTTTGTTCCACCAGAAGGACTTTGTTTGATAATTATTTCCTTGCTCTTCCTAGCTCCTTCCTTTTAGTCTTCAAATGGTAGATGTTGAAGCCTTCTCCCTATACGTGTATTCAGGCACTTCAAGAGGAAGAATACAGTAGGAAGTAATTCTTCCTTTTTTCCTGCTCTAAGATCTTTTTAACTCTTACTGAGTGAAGTTAGTTCTTGTTAGGTTGACTTTCCTGAAGTCTCAAGTCCTTTATCTCTTCACAAAATGGTTATAGACCAAGTAAATTTCCTTCTACAATGTCTTATTCCCTGAGCTGGACAACATTTTAAAACAGAGTAAACGACCCTGTCTCTGTACCTGCCCTCCTGTTTTCAATGCTAATCTCAGTGAAGAAATGCAATACTAAGCGTGGCAGGGAGTTTTGCATGAAACTTTAATAGGTCAGTAGTTCCACTAACAAAATATTCATTGTACAGTCTTAACATCTAAGGTCAAAAATTTTAGTTACATGACAACACATGGTCAGTCTGTCATACTCACAGGGTGCCCATCAGTCTATGTGGCTTCTGCAGTTTGCTTTTTTGTTATGTACGGCAGCATCAGGGCTCTGTGGTGTGGCATAACAGTACAGAAATAACTGAGCTTTATCAGATTCATTACTAATGCCTCTGTGATCAGTAGGAGGATACATCTGTTCCTCCTAGTTTTGAGCTACCTGACATGAGTCAGCTCTAACCTTGAAATGGTCCTGTTGTGTAGTCCCAACTAAGAAGACCTTGTTAGAACTTGGATGTATTAATTCAGGAGCATCATCAGAAATACAGTTTATACAGCTCCAACATAAAACATTTAGGTCCTGATTTGGAAGTCCTCTACTGACATCCTGATGTTGCACTGTTCCTTTTCCGTGTAAGAAAATTTGTATCCTCTATTATCAGCTAGCTCCTTAGCACAGTCTCTCTTTAGGAAAACTGTTGATACCATATTTAGATCTCTGACATAGTCATCTGCATGAGTACTGTAGTTGCTTTTTAGCCTCCCTCTTTCATCAGTGGAAAAAGATAGTGTGGAGGGACTGCTGAGTTTTTTAGGAGGAATGAATCATCTCAGGACTTTCTCATCTCTTTCTATTGATTCTTGCAGCGTACCCGTTTTTTTTTTTTTTCCACTTCAGTTACTTCATTTCCATTGATCTCTAAAATAAGGTGGGACGAGTCTGAGATACATTACAAAGGAATTTACTTTCGAAGCAGAGACCACTTCATGTTAAGGCCATTGCAGAGAGTACTACTGATAAGCTAGTACCTTCTTTACTGATGCCCAAGTTTACAGTAATTTCTCTAGCAAGCTCTGAATGCATTTGTTTTTACAGCATTTGACCCTACCTGAAGCCATTTGACTTCAGTATCAGTGTCTAGACAACTCCTCTGATAGTTGCTATCCAGAATTAGAGGTAAGCAGACTGGTTAATACAAGTCTGATGTTTTGATCTGTGGTTTTTTTTCTCCCTGGTGTGACTGTGTGTTGTGGTTTAAACCCAGCTGGCAACTAAGCCCCACACAGCTGCTCGCCCACTCCCCCTGTGGTGGGATGGGGGAGAGAATCAGAAGTGTAAAATTGAAAAAACTTGTGGGTTGAGATAAAGACAGTTTAATAGGTAAAGCAAAAACTGTGCCCAGTAAAGCAAAACAAGGAATTAATTCATTCTGCTCACTTCCCATGAGCAGACAGGTGTTCAGCCATCTCCAGGGCTCCGTTGTGCATATTCGTTACTCGGGAAGACAAATGACATCAGTCTGAATGTTGCCCCCGTCCTTCTCCCAGCTTTTTCTGCTGAGCATGATGTCATATGGTGGGGGATAGCACTTGCTACAGTTTTTTATTTTGTTTTAAGATGTTAGAGGAAATTACATGGTACAAATGCTGCCTGGCTGGCATACACAGCAATGGTACAGGTAATGAATATCTGATCCAGATTAGTGACAGGTTCTTAGCAGATCAGAACACCATGAGAAACACATAATCAGCTGACCCTCTGGTCAGCAGGTATCAGCTGTGTCCCCTCCCAGCTTCTTGTGCAACCCCAGCCTACTTGCTGGTGGGATGGTGTGAGAAGCAGAAGAGGCCTTGACTCTGTCTAAGCTCTGCTCAGCAGTAATTAAAACACCCCTGTATTATCAACACTGTTTTCAGCACAAATCAAAAACATAGCCCCATACTAGCTACTATGAAGAAAACTAACTCTGTCCCAGACAAAACCGGCACACTGTTGTGTGTGGGGGCATCCGAGAGTCAGTTTCTGCAAGGTTCAGCCCTGTACCTGAGTAATAACCAGAAGTGATGTTGATTGACTCTTCTCCTTAGACCTGCTCATTATGAAGAGAATAGTAATCCTTGGAAGTAACTGATAAAGTGTAGAAAGAAAGCTAGAATAACTTAATATAGATGTAACGGTACAGATTGCTTCAACTTTTGTTCACTTTTCTTTTTGAACTGTTCTCTAGTATTGCTGCTGCAGAGTCATACAATTACCTTTCACTCCTCAATATCTGTACTTCTAGTTGGCCATATGCTATTTATACTTTCTCAGGCATGGAAGCATAATTTCTGTCAGATTTCATAATCCCAACTAAAAAGCAGCTAGTATTTACAACAGTAGTTACAATTATGAGGGAAAGAAACCAAACACATACAGTAGTAGCCAAAAAGATAGCCAATGTATATGTGATCTAGAAGGATGTTAAAGTGGAAACTATCAGAGGAAATGAAAGGTGCTCATGTAGATTTCTTTGTGTTAGAAACAGGCAAAGTTTCTGGAGATTTTTAAACTTGGTGATAATGATAGATGAGGTGATAGATGACATATATGAATTCTTGGGGAAGATGCCGTGAGAGGACAAAACTACATATGTGAAACCAGACTGAGCACTGTGGAAATGCAGATTAAGTAAAGTGATAGACAGGTAGCATGCAGAGACGTACAGGTGCCTCTACGATATGTTGTGGCACTTGCTACAGTTTTTTATTTTGTTTTAAGATGTTAGAAGAAATTACATGTTACAAATGCTGCCTGGCTGGCATACACAGCAATGGTACGGGTAACGAATATCTGATCCAGATTAGTGACAGGTCCTTAGCAGATCAGAACACCATGAGAAACACATAATGTGTGCAATTCCTTTGTGTACCTCAAAGAATTTTACTTGGTCAAAAATTTTTCCAGGACAATGACAACATGTCTGTGTTTCCTTCTCTTTTTTAATTATTCTATATATATTCTAAGAATCTGCTGTGGTCGGGATCTGTAATCCCCAAAGCTCAGGGTTGTATGGATGTGAGGAATTGGAAACTGCCTTGAGTTTCCCCTGTAAAATAAAGTACTATTATAACAAGATGAAGGTTTGTGCTATGGCAAAAGACATAGGACTGGGTTCACTTGCTGTGAACTTTCACACTGTGGACCCGACTATGGTATACTTGACTACAATAAAGGATTTTGTCACAAAGGACACTTACAGCCTTAGTTTTGCTTAACGATTTGAATTTACAAGGGCAGCTAGAAATGTGATTGAGGACAACCCACAAATTCACTGTACTTGATTAACGAGATTAAACTGTCTCTCTTCTAGGCAGTTTCAGGAAGCCTGCATATCAACTTAAATTCATATTAAATTTAAATAATTTTAATGGATTGCTTATAATATATCATATAAACATAACATGTTTATAATATAAACATATTTAACTTAAAAATTTCATATTCAATTTAAATTCATATTTAAGTTGAGTTGGAGTACACTGTCCTGGAAACTTTAGATATTGTCTGTCTTTCAGGAAAATTCTTGTACTTGAGAATGAATAACTTCCTAAGCAGGAAAAATTGTATTTCTTTTCTGAAGGAAATACCAAGTGAAGAGAAGGTATGCATGCTGCCATTGTGCACCATGCTGAAATTTAGACTGAGTAAGGATTGCAAAAGTTTGGGTCCATTGTGTAAGGTCTTCATGTGTTTTATAAACATCTTAGGTCTTCAAACTTTCTCAGTTTTCCTGGGGCTTCTCTGCTAAAGTAAGAGAAGGAGAGTAATAACTCTGTCATGCAGTCTCCACATTGCATTGTCTTAACACCCATATGCGGTGCCTCAGCTATTGCAAGTGCTGTTTACAGGCTGCTCATAATTCCAGCAGATACTCCTTTTGGATAAAAGGAGTTTGAAGACTGGTATTTCTCTTTATGTTAGACAAAAAATACAATATTACCATATTTGAGCTAGAGGAATAGAGGATCATCACTAATAAGACATTCTTTAAGCTTTTCAGAGAGAGACTAGACACCAAAAATTCTAGAAAAGTCAAAAATACAAGGTCCTTATTCAGTCTATGAAGCATTTTTGCACACATCATAGAAAAAAATGTAGGTATTTCTTACTAGCTGTTATCACTGTGCTTTACTAATGTATATTGTCATGACCTCTTGAAATCAAGGATGCAGTAGATGACTGATTCTAGTTTCGACATTAAAGAAAATGAATGTTTAATTAGCGTGAAGCAGCATTGATTCACAACTTGCACCATTTTATTGCTCCCCAGTTAACATTTATTTTGCAATACATGTGTAGAGACACATGATTATCACTGTCTGAACAATTATTGTTGTGTTGACTTTCTAATGACATTCACTGGAACAGTCTTAAATTTTTGTAGTAGTTACTTAAATTTGTCAAATACTTAGGTAAATAATTAAAGTACTGATATCATCCAATAATAATTTGCATTTATGACAGATTATTGAGGCAATGCAAGCAGTGCTGCTGGCAGAAGTTCAAAGGACTATGAATACCTTGAGAAGCACTGCAATCTGCGGGGAGCCATTGGCCATAGTAGAGAATGGAAATGGTAAGCTGTGGACACTGCCAAAGACAGAGGAGAGGAATTTGCAATACAATAAAAATGTTTCTTTGCCATGTAGGTGGAAAATTTATTGGTATATTTTTTTAGAAGAACTTTCCTTAGCACTCAGAACAAGTTAGGAGTATGAGTTCGTAATACATTATTTCTATGTGAGACAAGCCAAATGGCCTATTTCTGACCTTATCAGGGTATGAATTTTTTCATATAATTGTCAAGGAGTTAAAGGACTTCCACACTCTCTCATCATCTCTGAATATTAAAGAAGAACAGGTAAAGTTTCTTTGGTTGTATGATAGTTTTGGTATTGTAAATACATTCGCAAATAAAGCAAGCAGTGTGTTTGAAATAGTAAATCATATTGAAAAGAAGTTTTACAAATCTATCTTTTCAATGAAATCAGACTTATACAGTACTAAAAATTAATTGCTTAAATTTTATAACTTCATAATGTAATACAGAATTTTTTTCTTTTAGAAATAACTTGCCTACAAGGAGATATCAAATATATTTTACAATTAGATCATTTCATTTTACAAGAAGCTTACTCTTTGCAACTTTACAATGGTGCTAATGTTTATGGTAAAAAAGATTGAACCTGAATTTATGTTATGAAGTTATACTTTTTTTTTTTTAAGCCCATTAGCTGAGTCTTAACTTTGTGACCTAAATTTTATATCCAATCTTATTAGCAAGTCTTCTCTTGGGAAACTAATTTATAATCTCATTGAGTGTGTGTGTCTGTCATGAAAATTTCTTACCAATCTCCTTGTTCCAGGATACTAAAAACGATCAGTGATACTTGCTTCAGACCATGGAACAAAATGGTTTCTCTCTAATTTGGACTGTTGGAATATCGTGAAACTCAAACACTTTGACTAGTTGTCATATAGGAATTTATGCTTTGCTTATGCTGCAGATAGCTTTGAATCACTTTATTTTTATGTGGCTTGGGACAAGATGCATTGTAATTAAAACACTCCCAGCTGTAAAGTTCGTATATGGATTTTATTTCACATTTCCTGAATTTTCAAGGTGTATTTCAATGTGGTATTTTGACATGGGTTACAACAAAAATGGAACTAACTGGAAGTTTCATATGCAGATAGCTGCAAACACCAGATGTGTTTTGGTCTTCGGGTTTGTTTCAAAACCTTATACTCTAGATGAAAAAGCAACTGTTATGTAAAGAGTGCTGGAATGATTATAAGAGTTTAGTAGTCAATTGTTTAATTAAGTATTAAGGCTCGCACAAGTTTTGAATTCAGGGGAGTTATATCAGAGATTTGGTTGTTTGTATATCTAGTAAAAAATTTTTACCATCATTTTGTTCTTAACCCTCTTATTTAAAGAATATTCAACAAACAACTAGAAAATTGCTTTGCTAGGATAAGCACAGTATACATATGTATTTATACTGGCTAGAACTTTTTTCATACTTCATGATCTGAACTACATAAATATATCCTGTAAAGCAGAGTGGATTTTTTGACATGGTGGTGTTTGTCAATCTAACATATTCCGGAATAGGCTGAAAACGTACAGGAAGGCTGGGAAAGAGATGTTACACTATGAGTATTTAATATATTAGCTTTCTTTTTGTTCTCATTTCCATTCATGGTTTAGCGTGTTGCATTATTTATCACCAAATATTCTTGTTTTGATTTGTATGGTTTTCTAATAGGCACTGCCAAACTTGATGGGTTTATTCAGAACTGAATAATTTTTTTGTGATTTCTAATATGTTAAGGAGTAAACCTATCCGTGGCATGTAATGATATGCAGAAATTATTAAAAATCCATCCAGGGGTAAGTCCATGACCAGTGTAATTACTAAGACAAGTAATTATATCTGATTTTAGTCATACATCTGATAGGTATGTCATCTTATATCTTATTAAATACTCTGTATTTATGGGTTATACAGTAGCTGTCATCTTATGTGACATCAAGGTAAAGGTTAAATATTGTTTCAGTTTTTTAAGTCATAATTCAAGACTGGGATCATGCACTTCTACACAAAGTAAAAGTATCTGAATCTTGGCTGCCATCATCATTGTATTGTATTGCATTTTTGTTGAATTGGAATTAATAATTTGCTCTGGAGATGCTTAACCTTGTTTAACTCAACGAATTTCCACTGAAGTCAATAATGTTTTCTTTAAAACAGAACTTTCAGGATTTGACTTTCAGTTTTTATTATTGTTAAAGTTCATAGTATATTATATAGTAATATCTTCAGAATGCTCCTTAGTCCTTAGGAAGCTCTTGCATCCATACTTCATGGTTAAGGTTGATAGCATTTAGGCAACAGCTTCACTTGCTGAATAATTTAAAATGCATATTTTTCTCTGTGGTTCCATACTGACAGAATTGTTTGTTAATTGAATTAAAAATAAATTAAAAAAAACCAAGGTCATAAAATATTTTTCCAGAAACAAAGATAAGGAATTAAAAAAGCATGCCAGAGGAAGGGTTAACAGTGTTCTGTCCTAGTGCATTCTCCCATTGTTGCTAAAAGGAAATATAAATGCAAACAGTTGCAATTTCTTTGTTGATGTCAAAGGTAATAATTTTGGACCTGTTCCAAACATATTGATGGCAATCTTGCCACTGATTTCTGCAAGCTTTGCCTCAGTTCTTCAGAGGCTGAGGTTTTCCCTAATTTTTTTGACATTCATCATGATTTGGAAAAAGTACATTGCACTTTATCCCTTCTTGCCTTTTTTCTAATAATCTCAGGTTAATAGTACTGTTTACAGGTTGTCAGTGTGGTATTTTTTACCACTGCCATGTGGGTCAGAGGCAGCAATTTTAAAATCTTAAGAATCTACTTATCCATTGTTATTTGCATAAACTAAGAACAACCTAGTTTGCTGGTGTTCATTCATTTTTCATTTGTAGTGTTTGATCTTATGACGTACGTACCTAGTCCATACCCAGCCATGTGCAAAGCTTCTTTGATCGGAGGAAAAATGGTGTTAATACCACTGTTCTCATTCCATAGGCCAGTGATTGTATACAGGAAATTGCATAGTCCCTCCTGTAGTTGATTTGAATCCCTATCTTCCTCAACAGTAATTCATTGCTTATCTGCAAGGCATTCTGCAGTGAGTTCTCTCAAAGTCAACTACAGAAATTGTTTCACTTTCCATAGAAATATCAAAATATTTGCAAGGATTAGAGTTAGAAATGAGATTCCCTAACCTCCAGGTGTGTGTTGTGTGTAGGACTGTGATCTCCTTCTAGCTACTGCACAGAAGCAGTTTCATATGTCCCATCCTTGGATGCCTGTTTCTTCTAATGCACAGGAAGACAAAACTATCTCATCTGAAACAGCATTATAGTATATGAGTTCTTCTGGAATTGTGTGCCTCAATTTTTTGTAAAATGTGAAGAACTGGATTTATTTACCTTTTAAGAAAATTGTGAGGATAAATGTTTAAGATGTTCATGCTCAGATATTATGTTGAGGCACTGATGTATGTTATGTTCCAGGAATGCCAAAAACTGGAAAAGTGAAAGGAAAGCATAAAGTACAGGCTTTATTCTTAAATATGGATTATTAGTTTAACTGCCTTTAGATTTTTGAAAAATTTAACTATGAAAAATCGCACCACTAAGACTACCTTGCAATAAATTCTGACTTGCACTTTAAAATTCCTAGTTTAGGAAGCTGCTAATGATTCAAGCTTTTAAGTATATTTGAAAACTATTAGCTATAACCTCATCTTCTGTATGTGGTTTTGGAGCTCTTTAAACTATTCAATGAAATAAATTGCTTCTTGCAGGAAAAAAGCTTCTGCTGATAAATACCAGAGTGAAATTAATGGTGGCAATTGAATTCCATAGGTTAGTGTAAAGAATTGTCAAAGACTTATCTAGAATATAACAATATGTTTCGTTAAAAGAAGGAATCCGTTCAGTAATGGTAAATCAATGAAAGGAGGGCTATAACAGCTTCTGTTCACTAGAAGCCTGTAGTGACCTGCAGCAGAGGGTTTCAAACACTTCTGTTGTCTGAGTTCCAGAAATCTGTCTGGTTGCAGACAACTTTATGTCAACTCTTAGGAGGTCATTCTGTGACAGTGTCTTTCTGCATAGCAAATGAATCTTCTTGCCTGCATGCAAAGTCTTAAAGTTTTGTCAAGTGCAGATAAGGAGAAGGGTTGTTCTGTCTCTGATATTTTCTTTCATATTGTCATCTTGTTATGACTTGCTGCCTTTTCATATCAGTCCAAATATACATTCTGACTCTGTATTTTAACAAACAAAAAAAGACCCGAAAGACAACCCTGGCTCTGAGCATTAGTCTATTTGTACCATTGATATCACAAAGATTACACAGGATTTCACTGAAAACTTGTCTGTGGTTGCCTGATTGCTGGGGAGATAACTTTTAGGGGTGTAAAATGCATTGATTCACTTATTTACTGTAACGACATTAATGTAATTTGTAGTGGTTGTGTTCTAGTGAAATACTACCTGCCCAGAAAACTTGAACAATGTCTGAAGAATCAATTTCTGACTTAACATTTTACATTCAGATAAATACACGTCTGTCCTCATATTCTTATATTTCCCTTACTGTGTTAGTTTCAAGTTTGGATTTGGACTTGTGACATATGTAATGTATTCAATATTTGCAACTGTTTGCCTTGCTGTGGCTGGGTTCCATATCCATCATGAATCAAATAATCAAGCAAAATCTGGAAAAAGGTGTCCAGACTAAATATGCTGGAGTCCTAGAAATGCACATGACCAAAAAATCAAAGCTGTCAGTGCAGCTCTTGGGGAATAACCTCTTTTCTCATGTGGATTGACTAGTACAATGAGGGGTTAAGTTAGTGGTAGAAAGGGGAGGAACGCATGGGAGGATTTCTGATAAACAAAAGAAGAAAAGGCTAAAGAGAAGAGGAGAATGGGAGAAAAAGGAACTGGAGGTAAAAAAAAAAGTCTAGGAAAATGGAGAAGAAAAAAATTATACT